ATCTTACACAAGTGAAACAGTAAAGCTAAGTGATCGAGCCAGTGATTTCATTGTAGCGCTATTAAACAGTACACGAGTTCTCTTAAATGACGTGCAATTAAACCATTAACATTAACATAAACGCACGTTTAGAAACATCTCATGTTATTCGAAAAAAGAGTAGCGACGTATGACAAAAAACACTCTAATTTTATAAAAAATTATATTAATGTTTCTTTCCTTTATATAACTAAAAAATTAACTTTTGTGTACTGATGTAATATTTATTTTGTCAAAATGTGACCCCTCGCAAATCTAAAATCTTTGTTCCTTAAGTCTTTATTTTGTTGTGTTACCCTTCAGCCACCGACCGTTGTGACGATCTGTTTACACGATACATACGTTCGAACTGGTTTGAACAGACCAAAGAACTGAATGTGTCAAAGAAAAGAACCGAAATAACCACTTGGTTGACGGAACATTAAATACCGTCATATTAGACATAAATATCAATAGAACAAGATTTAATCTCACGCAATTGAATTTCTCGCGGGTCTCAGATAAATCGATGATGAATAAATGAATTTAAATTTTCGATTTATAAAAAAGAGAAGTGTAAAATTTGCCCCTTACTACTGCAGCGAAATGCACATAATTGCTTTTCTCGGATTAAAACGAATTGAAGTATCTACGTGTAATGTCACGAATCGTTCATGACATGTCGCGATCGATAATCATTGAATTACAATCAGTAGGTCGATAACATTGTTCAGTCTATATTTAACCCCAATGCTCCTATATTTATGTCGAAGATAATTTACTAAAAATAAATTTGTCCTTCAATGCTAGTGCATTAGCTATCTGCTCTCTAATATAAAAATTGTTGCAACAATCAATTATGATTTATATGCAGGTCTTACGTTAGAAAATACAATGTTATTATTATTCAACTGTAAGTTTATTTTTGACTCATTAATGTCTCATACTCGCGTATAATTATTTTGTAATAAGTTTATAATCTGGGCTTTTCACATTTAAAATAATACATGTATAAAATATGTCATAGAGAGTCTATCTATGTTAAAACATACATTGCAACATCATATATGATATTTTGTGTTGTAGTTTTGTTCTATCATGGCAGAGTTAGATATGACTGCACAGAAATGGAATGAGGAGGGTGATAAAAAGTTTAACAATGGCAATTGGTCAGAAGCCTTAAGTCACTACACGAAGGCAATTGAACTAGCAACAGACAACACTGAGAAAGGATTGTATTACGATAATCGAGCTGCCGCATATTTTGAGCAGGGCAATTACGACGAAGCGATTGAAAACTGCAACAGTGTGTTAAAAATATTCCCTAACGTTCCCGTAACATTGTTTCGCAGATTTTTAGCATTAACAGAGTTAGAAAGATTCGAGGAAGCATTCGAGAAGGATGAGGACGAGAAAATTATTTCATCTCACTCAAATGATACATCTGGCTCAAATGATTCACCACATCTTCATATAGCGGAGCAATTTCGTGAAATTTCAGACAAATATATTAAGGAAAAAGCAAGTATTAATATCAAAATAAATATTCATATAACCACAAAAACCCATCAACTCGCAAGACACGTTAATTTGGTGATAGTAGATAATATAAAAATAATAACACATTTTTCATGCTCAATATATATATTTTAATAAGAGTTCTTATTTCACTCAATATCACATATAATTTGACAAACGGATTTGAGTTGTTGTCTCTCTTATTATATAATATATTATTTCTTCTTATCGATTAATAATCTACACACTATATGGGTAAATATTAACGTCATACAAACATAATCTTTCGCAGTTAGTTTATATTTTTATCACAGACCATTATATTTAAATATACGCTAACTTTTGTTTTGTATTAGGTATCACAAATAATGGATCTAGCATTTAACGTGAGCGCAGATCAGGAGAAACGTGAAAACGCCGTGACTCTACTTAGGCTTACACGTTGGAGAACTGATACCTACGAAATCTTCATAAAAAAAGTAGGAATAAGGATGATGAAGTGATCTGTAACGCGATTCGTATTGTAGCCGAGTTATGCAAAAACAATGATAGTCGAACTAATTGTAAGTCCACTATGATAAACGTTCTTTTGCCTTGGTGCCTGGATATAATGAACAGCAAATCTACAGAGAGAGTCAACGCGTCTCAATACTGTTTACAGGTAAATATTATCGACTAGAGAATGTACTTAGTATACACGTATTTCACTAATTGATTTATTGCGTAATTCTGTTTTAGATTATATTGAACACTTACAGCGGCATGAACGATGAACCCGATTCAAAACCCGACGAGGTTTTGTGTGAGATGCATGAAGAAGTAATTGACAAAATTCTGTCATCCTTGTTGGATAAAATAGTAAATAAAACGACAACAGGCATTGCTAGAGACGCATTAATAGAATTTATTACACGTAACATTCATTATACTGCGTTAAATTGGGCCAAACAATTGATCGAGTTTGGCGGTTTGCTAACATTAATGGAGATAGCCAGTCAATGCCAGAGCAAATATTTCAATTCGTTGGATATTACGTCTTCCACACAAACTATAACCAGCGTGTGTTTAACAAAAATCGATGAAAACTTGGATGAAAATGATAAGGAAGGATTTTTCAACATCATTAATGAATTTATTAGAGAAGATTTGAATTCAACTGACGTAGAATGTCATGTATGAATTTTGTAACTTTTGATCTTTTCTGATGACTTAAATTGTTGTAAAATAAGAGACCGAGCATCTTTTTAACTATAGTACAATATTTGTGAAATTGTCGATATTGTGTATTCTGTAAGTTTCAAGTTAATACATGATTATAACAAAGTTTAATCAAAATATATTGAAGAATGACTTGTTTATCTATCGTATTTTCTAAAGCTTAATTTACTCTTAATTAGAGATTTTTCCTATTTTTAATCATAGTTTAATAACACTAAAACTGTCTTGATTTTTAAAGAAATAATTATTATACATATATTATATATATAAATTAAGCAACTTTATATATCTATATATATATATATATATAAAGTCGCTTAATTTTTTATTTGAAATAATTATTGTTTCACAAAACGTAAAAATTCATAACTTGTTAACCGTTTTTCTTTTTTTACAGGTGAATGCAATAGTTGCAATGATAACCTTAACATTCGGTTCGTTTAATGTTGCAAACACAATTATTACCAAAGACGGATTTGATAAAATAATTGTGGATTTTTGGAATGAGAATGACTTATTGCTGCAAAAAGTGATTTGCGAATTTATCTATGTCGTTGTAACCAAATATAACGAATTTATCACGTTTATACGTGAAAGTTTACCTATATTGGAAAAACTGATTTATTCTAAGGACCCGGATAATCTTGAAAACTTGACATCGTTCAAATCAATTCAGGTTCGAGCGTTCGTGAATATTTGCAAGATGAACAAATTCGAAGAGATAAAATATTTCCGGGTTGCCTGTATGTTCGTCCACGATGAAGTGCAAATACTTGTTTGGCTGGAGGTTTGCAGACAATTTTTGACCAGTCCTCAGAGAGATATGAGAAAATGGGCCGTTGCAGGTCTGTCGTATCTCACTTTCAATCCCGTAGTCAAAAACACGTTGATCGAAGACCGACAAGCCGTTGAAACGATAATCGAGTTCGCCAAGACTGAAAATCAATCAATTCTCTATCAAGTGGACATATTGTTGGTGAACTTGTGCAGCGCTTATGACAAGGAA